ACCTGTATTAGGCCAAGCTTTGACCTGTCAGGTCTCCCACCTTGGTGATGGAAGAACATTGTCTACTGATGTTATTTACTTCACCTTGACACCCACAGAGTAGATTCAGTTCTTGACTAAATGAAGACAGATATGACATTCCTTCAAATAAAGACATTTTTCATCTCTGCTATTCCTTCACATTCAAAACAGACATTTACATTTCTTTCAATTATAATTACTACCTTTTAGACTCTTAGCCTTCTGTGATGACTTCATTTCTTTAATATATGGTAACTCCAAGTCTGTGATTATTAGATGCAAGTGATATTCTCTATCCTGACATAGTCCTAGAATAGGATGGTGAATTTTTTGAGATAATGTATTGCCATTAATACAGATCTTTATTCAATTGTTTTTCTGAACTCTCAATTTTACTTATTGCTGATCAGTTTGTGATTTTGAAGTCTCAATCAAGTTTTATATTTTGAGAATTCCAGCTTCTAATTGAGGTAATATTTTTAAGGAGCAAATACATTCTAACTCAAGGTTTTCCTTTCTTTAAAAAAAACTATTTAAATTAAGAACACACTGACAGTAACCAGAGAGAAGATAGGAAGTGTTTTCAGGAATATCTATAAAGGACAGATGAACAAAGCCAAGAGGGGTAGGATCAGGGGTGAGAGGTGGGTATGGCTGGGGTCAGGCAGAGTGGTGAGGGGGAAATGGAGACAGCTGTGCTTGAACAATAATAATGAAAAAAAGTCAAGAGAGGAAAATCTATTTAGCCAGAAATAACTTCAACTGTGTTGTGTTATGAAGTCTCTTATTTACCAGTTGGCTGGGAGTATAGTTATTAGTGTTTAAAGACATAATTGAAAGACAAACCAACCTAAGTGAGGAAGGAAAAAATGTATAGGTCCTTGTGCAGAGGTCTGGTCCTCAATTCCAGGATCCTAGTAAGACTGAATAAAAATATGCTGAAAGTTCCAGATTAAATGGAACCTAGTTGGGCATTCTGGTTGTTGAATAATATAAGGTTTGATAGATTGATATTAGATTGTGAAAGCTGAACATCTAGATTTTATTTTGGAAGTTCTGTCAGTCCAAGAGTTAATGAAAAGTTTTCATCAGAAGAGCTATAGAATCAGCTTTTAAAGAAGATTAATGTGACTAAAAAATGAGGGATGAAAGGGAAGAAAAGAGATGGAAGACAGGCATCCTGTTGAGGAGAAGTCAAAAGGGTGGGGCTTTGTGCAGCAACACAGGTGAGTCTTCAGAAATGATGTTGAGTAAAACAAGCCAGACACAAGGGGTAGTATTCTAATATTCCATTTATAAGAAATTGAAAAGTAGGCAAAAACTAATTTATGGTGATTGAATTCAGTGGTTACTTTTGGAGGGAGGTAATGACTGGGAGGCTTCCGGGGTATTAAGAGCCTTATATATTCTGATCCAGGATGCAAAAACTCATCTAGTTCTACAAAGTAGTTATGTATACTTTATACTATGTATGTTCTAACTCAAAAAAATGTACTCCCCCAAAGAAGGATGGGGTTACAATGGAGGCAATGAAATTGGAAAGACAGAAAAAATTCTTTCCACATGCATCTTTCAGAAAACAAACAAAAAAATAAGCCTAAACAAGACTATATAAATAGGGTATGGCCATTTCTGTTATTAAAGTGGACTGCATCTGCAAGGCTCATCATAGTTAATAGTCTCTGAAGATGACTGCCATCAATCTCTCCCCTCTTGTAAGTGAATAATGTCTGTGTGCCTCCTCCTGAATCTGGGATGTCCTTAGGGCTTGCTTTGACCCCTAAAATATGAAGGAAATGACAATGACAATTCTAGACCTAGCCATCAAGATCCTGGGAGCTTTTTGTTTCTCTCTTTGGAATTTATCCATCACATTGTGAAAAGTGTTGATTGGTTAGACTGCCAAATGCTGAGACATCACTTGGATGGAGAGCGCTCTGTGTGACCAGATATGTGAGTGAGGTATTCATGGGTCTTCAGCTGCTCACAGAATGCAGCTGAGGAGTGTCATGGCTGATGTCACACTGAGCAAAAGAAACCCTGACCTAACCCTCCCCTGAATTATTCCCATAAGAAAATCCACATTGTGGTTGTTTTAAGCTCCTAAACTTTAGAGCAGATTATCTCATACAGTAGTAGATAACTGCAACGGTTGTCTTCTAGACTGATGGCTCTCAAAAGAGGATAGGGTTATCACTTTGTTCCCCCAGGAGATATTTTTCAATGTCTGCATACATTTTTAATTGCCATGACTAAAGAGGCTGCTACTGACATCTAGTGGGGAGAGGCCAGAGATAGATAAACATCTACACTACACAAAACAGTCCCAACAACAAAGAATTACCCAGCCCAAATGTTTGTGAAACCATGATGTAAGAACAATTATTTGTAACTTAGGTGGATGCCTAGGAGTTTTTCTCCAAAGCCATATTTCCTAAAATTTACACACATACATACACACAAGATCTGTCTGGAAAAAATCCAGCATTGTTAATATAATGAGAACAGTTTGAATGACATCAATGTAACCTGGAAACCAAGAAGAATGAACAGGCATGTGTATGTGTGAACAATGACAACTTCACTGTACTAGTCAGTGGGGACAGCAGACACCATGAGTGAGCATGTGTACTGTGTGGCCGTTGCCTTCAAAGTGACTGAGAGAGTAGAGCAACAAATCTGGGTCAAATTTTGTGCTAAGCTTGTACATTCCTCTGAGGAAACTATTTGGATGATCCAGCAAGCTGTAGCTATGGGCAACTGGTGATTGACAGCTTCATCATGACACTGTGTCTGCCCATGCATCACGTTTCAATCAGAGTTTTTTGGAGAAATATCAAATCACCCAGGTGACTCAGACCCCTTACAGCCCAGATTTGGGGCCCTATGACTTCAGGCTTTTCCCAAAACTAAAATCACCTTTGAAAGGGAAGAAATTTCAGATTGTTGATAAAATTCAGGAAAATATGATGGGGCAGCTGATGACGATTGGGAGAACTGTGTGAGGTCCCAAGATGGCTACTTTGAAGGGGCCTGAGGCATCCTTGTCTTATGTACAATGTTTCTTGTATCTTCTTCAATAAATGTCTCTAATTTTCATATTACATGGCTGGGTACCTCTGGACAGACCTTGTATACATAATGTTATAATTGTCCCAGACCTTCAGAAACAGAATTTCCAGGGAAGGGGCTTCAGAAGTTACATTTTTACTTTCACGGTAATTGAAAAACATTGCCCTAGGCCAATGTTTCTCCAATTTTAATGTGCGTAGAAACAAGCTGGTGTCTTGTTAAATTGTAGAATCTGATTCACTTTATCTGGGGTGAAACCAAATCTGATTTCTAATGAGCTCCCAGGTGATGTGCAAGCATTGCTCCTTGACCACACTTCACATAGTAAGACTCCAGAGCAGGTCTCAAATGTTAGTGCACATCAGAATCCCCTGGAAGAGGGAGACCATTGGGCTCACCCCAGTGTATGATTCTGCGGGTCTGGAATGGGGCCTGAGAATTTGTATCTCTTACAGTTTTCTAGGCGATATTAATGCTGCTAGTCTGGTAATCACGCTTTGAGAACTAATGCCCTTGATGAGTATTTTGCACATCTAAGTATACATAAAATTTACCTCAGGTGGCAGCAAAAACTGAAAATTCTCAGACCTCCCCATCCCCCACCAGTTTCTTCCTTCAGTCTGGGCTGGGAACTAAGTAATTTGCACTTTAATAAATTGTCTCACCTGAGGTCATTCTAATATCAGTGGTCTAGGACCACACTTCAAGAAATATTGCCCAGGGGAACATATTAGATTATCTAGAGTGTGAAGGAGGGGCATGGTTAGTTTCCAAAAACACATTCAATTTTATAATTGCTTTAATCTGAATTTATTCTAAAATATTAAATGACATTAAAGGAATAAAGGAGAGTTTTATGCTTATTAAAGGTGGCCCCAGGTTATATGCTAGAACCAGAAAGACTGTTTCAGAAGGCGTGTTTTCTTCCTGAGTCAGTCACTCAGTTCTTTGCAAATTCATGTATTTACAGTCTCTGTAGCAGCTACAAGTTGGGTGCTGCTGCCAATTTAAGACAAGACATTAATAATAACAGCCATAGTTAAACTTGTTTGAATTTTTGCTGTGTACCAGGCATTATTATGTAAATAATTTGTGAATGCTATCTAATTTAACATACTAGATAACCCCTTCAGAAGCAGGTCCTATTATCCCCAGTGTATAGAGAGGGAAATTAATGCATACTGAATTTAAGATATTTGACTACAATCATATAGCCAGTTAATATCAAGCCTAGAGTTTTCACCTTGTTTGATGGATAATTGATAGGATAACAGATAGATGGCTAAGAGATAAGATATGGGCATCTGGTTTAAATATGATTTTTTTAAGTATAAGTCTTATGTAAAGCGATAGTTCGAATGAAATGTCCTTTTTACATAATTAGTAAAGGATGTATTTTGGAACAAGATTTAATATATTGCCTTGACAGGATATGGTAATGGCTGAAGGTTTTTTTACAATTTTCAAGTATTATTTTACCAGGTACTTTAAACCTTATTGGAACTTTAATATATTCGTCTTACCCATCTATTATATCTGCCACTTTTTGAGCAATATATTATCTAGTAGTCTTTTTTTTTTTTTGCTTTTGGCATGGTTAGTTAAGAAAGTTTATAGTCATCCTGTCTCAAATCAATGTAATTTCAGGGCAATCTGGTTCCTCACTCTATGGTTTATGTAGAGTTAAATGTTTTCTCTGCCTTGTGTTTTCTTCTTCCATTAAATACTAAAGTTTCAAGCAGGTTTTTGCTATTGCTATTCCTCAATTTCCTACTCCTCAGTCAAATATACAAAATATTTTAAAAGAACAGCACATGTACAAAGTTTTTTTGTTGTTGCTTTTAAAAAATATCACTCTTGATGCTCAGCTATGTCAAAGATAAAATCATCCATCTTAAACACATCCCATACTTACCTGGCAGGGGAGATACTATGAGCATGAGGGTGGTTTTCCCAGAACAAGGCTTGCCCTTTGCAATCCAGATGTGCTGACCCCTGTGATTTCCCCAAATATGGTAAACTCGAGTGCATACTTTGTTGTGGTAGTGGACTGCATTTGCGTCCTGCCCTGTAAAACAAACAAACAAACAAAAAGCCCAGACCATATTAAGTCAAAAATCTTCCTGGAAGAAGTTTGAGGTTTAGAAAACAGTTTTTTTAACTTTATGGAAATTTAAGCTTCTATATTAACATCTACTTTCACAATCTAAACTTTGAGCTACGTTTGTTTAGAAGACATTGACATTTTAGAAACTGATTCTTATTGAAGTGTACTTTCAAAATGTGTTTGTGTTTTGGGTCCAGATTTTTAAAAAAATATATGAGCCTTCTGATACATTAGACGTCATATACTAAACAAAATATTGGCCTCAAACACACAGGAAATAGATGCTCACATGTGATTATATTCTTTTTAAAAATTATTTTATTATTGTTCAATTACAGTTGTCTGCATTTTCCCCCCACCACCATTCCCCCACCGACCCTAGCCAAACCCACCTCCTCCCTTGCTTCCACCCTCCCCCTTGGTTTTTGTCTCAGTGTCCTTTACAGTAGTTCCCGAAAACCCTTCTTCGCATTGTTCGCTCCTTCCTCCCCTCTGGTTATTTAAATTATTCTTACTTTCAGTGTCTCTGCTTATATTTTGTTTGCTTTTTTCTTTTTTTGATTATATATTCTTACTATTCACAGTAAGTGTAGATATTATATGTTAGATTGTTTTCCCAAGTCCATCGCCCAGAAAGGGAGAAAGGATTCCCTTAGCCTAATCAGATCTGGAGGTTAGGTCAGGTTTCCCTGAAGCCCATGGACTACTGCCTAAGGAAGGGTGGACACAGGCATGAAAACACTGAAGAAATGAGTGCTGAGTGGGCAAATAACTCTAGAGATGGGAAGAAGGACTTGGCCAAGTGTGAAAAGTGTTCTTGACTGCATCAAACGTCAGACTCTGACTTCTCCATTGAGAATGATGGACAGTCTATCGCTTTTAACAGACATGGAAAACTCTGGGCCCAGTGCTGCATTCATTATGGAGAAGTGTTAGTTTTTTCTCTCCATTTAGAACTGAATCCATTAATAATTACTCATATTAAAAATAGCTTTGTAAGAGGAAAAAGATAAAATTTATGTTCTGGGTTAATGTGGTAGGGATTTCAACACTGGTTTTCATTTTAAATAAGTAATTTAGTAAGTAAAAACTGAAAAGGTTTGGCTACAGATAAGTAAATAATTAATAATTATCTTGCTTCCTGGGTGATTTGTTTAAGTATTATTTCTAAAAATGAGTGTAGAAAGAAGACAGCAGTGTAGAAGAGTGGCTTAGTATGATCTATACATTCAGAGTGAATCCTGAAGCTGTGAAGAGTAGGGTTTGTGTATTTATTTATTTTTAAGTCACTTGTTTTTTATTGTATGTTTTTCCATTACCACTTACCCCTTATACCCACCCACCCTCTCAATCACCTCGCTGCTGTCCATGTCCATGAGTCCATTTTCCTTTTTTCTCAATCATGTAACTTCATATCAATGTTCATATCAACTGGGTGATTCTTGGTTTTCAGAACCATGTTAAAGCTAAGAATAATTCAAAGAGGCTGAAGGTCTGGGGACTCTCAGGTTACACATGGTGGTGCATTAGACTTAGTATCACCATTTTCTTGTGAAACCTGGCACTTTGAATTCAAAATACGGAAAAGATCTTTAGATAGAACCACAAGATTATTCACTTCAACTCCACAGCTAGGTTACCCAAGTCACATATATTCTGGTGACACCAGGGAATGGAGACTGCCTTCAAGGGCTATCCTTAGTTTGGAGACACATAATTTGTCCAGCAACATGCACAAAGTGGAATTGTTAAGCTATGTTAATTTATTTAACAGTATTACATCATGTTTCTTTTTGAAATTGCTTTCTAGTATCAAGATTCATTGACTTGAATATTCTCTGGGATGGTAAGTCTTCATTTGTGGATGGATTTAATACTTTGAAAATGTAGCACATCATGAAGTATAGTGTGTGGTTAATTATGTTAGCATGGTGACCCATGTGTGAAGGCAGGAAAGGCAAAACCAAGATATCAGTACAGAATAATAATCATAATTTTCACATGCTGCTGATAAACTGGCCACGAAGATTCTTTTTTTTAAAAAAATGAATGTATGTTGATATTCTGTTCATTTTAATCACATTGAAGGAAGACCTAAATTTTTTATGTTTACTGAAACAGCCTGGTTAGAATGAGTAGAATTCTGTTGCGTCTTTATTTCTTAAATTTCCCCCAGGTGCCTCAGGGGTTTAGACATGTTCACCTTTGCTCATGATATTGTATCACTCACTACTCTTGTTCTAATTCAAATATACACTAAAGGCCTATAATAAATAGAGAAGCCTCTGACATGGTGGTTATTGATGTGATGGGATGAGTAGCAACAGAAATGCACATGGACCCACATGTTTGCTTCTATTTTCTCATTTTCACCATCTCCTCCTGGCCACTCTTTTGCCCATTAGGTCTCTCATTAGAAGGCAGATAGGGAAATCAAAAGGTAATGAAACTTGAATCTGCTAATTTTGCATCTTGTTAGCAGCTCCTATTAAATGTTTAGTGGAAAAATATGCTATCATTATTAGCTAAAAGGAAGCTTAGTGGTAATCTATGGAATTTATTTATCTGTTATCAATTCATTAATAATTAAACATTAAATTGGGCTATCCTATTTATTACTCAACTAAATTATATCAAATGTGTCTTTTTTTTGCCTACAGTTAAAAAATTGCTGGAAAGACATCAAGTTTATATACTTCATAAAATTCAAATTTAATAAAGCAAGGTCCATAACCTCGCAAAACCAACCTCCTCTATTATCCCAGATGTATAACAGTGCTCATAATGGCTACATTGTATCATCTCAGACTAGGAAAAAATAACCCTGTTGTTTCTGAGGTGCAAGACAGGACAGTCTATCTATATACCTGTGAAACCTAGCAAGAAAAGTGAAAGGAGAGGCAGCATCTGAGAAAATTAGAGGTATTGGTGACTCTCAGGGCCCAGCTTATGACAGTGTGACTATAACTGGGTTAAAGAACAAGGTGATGTAAAGGAAATTTGAAGCCTTTTCAGCCTTCTCTTATCATGTTATGTGCTCTAATAGATGGATGCTTGCTTCCAAACACCTGGCTTTGTAATAGAATCAGAACCTCCAGTTGCTAGGGCTCATTAAGTAGGCAGACAGGGTTTTGAGTTGAAAATGATCAAGATATATATATATATAGTGAGCATTTGTATATTATATGTATATATAAATATATATATAAGTAAATACATATATATAAAAATGAAGTTTTGGTTAACAATAATTTGCATATAGCTATTTGGGTAAGGAGAAGGGACAGAGAAATGAGCTAGCATGAGCAATTAAATGTAACCTGGAAGAGAAATAGAAGAAAATAAAAGAGAACAAAGGTGTGCTTGGAGCATGAGAGGATAAAGGAACACATTTATCATGACTCAAATAAGTTTCTGGGTCCCCATTTGCTAACGTCTGTCTGCATTAGAGACATGGAGACAGTGGTTCAAAAGCTTGGCTGAACTGTGGAGTTACTTGGGGAGTTTAAAAGTATGCTGATGCCTGGATCCCACTCTTAGAGATTCTGAGTTCATCAGTCCAAGATGGAGCTTGTATATCAGGATTTTATAAAATAGCTCAGATAGTTCTAATATACCATCAAGCTTGCTATCTACTGCTCTGAAATATAAAGATGTCATTTAATGCCTCTTCTCTTGTGGTTCTTTCCTTTCCATTTGAATGCTCACTTTTCATGTCTTGTCCATCTCCCTGTCCCCTCCACATACATCAGCTCAGCCACAACAGTGATCTGAATGAACTGATAAAATATTCTAACTCCCAAGATGAAGAAGGAATTCTTTGTAATAATAGCTCCATCAATTAAGGTTTCTATGTCAGATTGAGGATCCTCTCTCCTTGGCTTCAGCTTTGGACACTAAATGTGTAGAATGTTAAACTCTGTAATAGGAAACAGTAGAATTATAGGAGATAGTTAACATTTTAAAGACACTTATAGCATAAATTTCAGAATATGTTGCTGTCTTTCCAAATCATACTAATTTGCTTTATCTGTTCAAAAAAACATGATGAAAATGGCACATTTTATCTTTCATATGTCTCCACAATTATAACAATTAAAATGGGATTTATTTACTCAACACTGGTTTGGGTTTTTTTTTGTTTTTTGTTTTTTGGTTTTTTTAGGAAATTCCTGAAACACAAAGGAGAAGTATTACTAAATAGATCATTTAAATATACTAGGCCTTCTGTATTCTGTACAGTTGCCTTAAAATCACATGTGGCAGACAAGATAAATTTGAGAAGGCACTTTGAAAAAGGCATTCGTACTTTTGACAAAAGCATATTCAGACACAATTATGCCCCAGAATCAGAGAGGATAATCATTTCACACACATACCCACATTCCATCTCTCTCCAAAAATTTATTCATTCACTCATTCATTCATTTCCTCGTTCACTCATTTATTTACTCAATTGTTTTTCAAATGACAGCAATGCTAGAAGACAGAGCACAGTAGACATGTCCCTGGCCTTCACTCCATTTAACATCTTCCTCAGTGGTGAATAGCAATAAGGTGACACAGAGAATGTGAACCCAGTGCAACTGAGGGAGGCCAGAGTGGTCTACAGCAACTGTTCTCAGCTTGGCATTGATGGCTATACTTGCTAGTGTGTGATGGTGGGCAGTTTCTCTTATCCTCAGTCTAATAATCTGTGAGACAGAGATTTATCTACCAAATCCACATTAGCACTTTCTGTGTGTTGGACATAATGTCCATTGTTGGAGGTGCAGGAGAGAGCATTGCTCACAGGGCATATTTCTCACCCAACACTCATTGCAGTGAACACTAGCTGTCATCATTTCACTATCGCTGGACTGCATTGGGTTTTGTGGGGGATTCAGGACATCAAGGATGATTACTGTTATACCCAATCATAATTCTATAAAACAAATCATTTTATTTTGTTTAACCAAATTG